ATCTTCCTTACTTGCCGGTTCTGGAAGGTTATCCTTGACATCGAAAAAGGTTTCCTCTTCCTTTTCTGTGGCATAGATTTCTTTGACAGGTCTAATGAGAGACGAGGGGTCAACCTCATTTTCCTCGTCAGAGATAGCCAAGGTATGAGCGAGAGGTGCATTGTCAATGCTTGTCTTCTTACTGGCAGGGGGCAACGGCATCTTGTTGTTGTCGATTAAGTCTTGGATGGCTTCCTTAAGCTTCCAACAGTTTTCGGTGAGATGGCCCCTACCTTGGTGATACTTGCAGTGTGCATTCGGGTTCCAATCAGCCGACCTCTTCTCGACTGGTGGGTCCCCAAATGGTCCAATAGGAGTTATAAGACCTTTTTCATTTAATCGATCAAATGTGGTGTCATAACTCATGCCAATAGGAGTAAAGTTCCTCCTAAATGGTTTCTTCTGTCCTTGATTGTTCATAGAAAGGACTTCTCCTAAATTAAAAGTGCTAACGTTGTTTGAGTGGGTGGTTTTGGAAGAAGAAGGATTGTCGTTCTTCTTTCCTTTCCAGCCACTGTTGGAGTTATTGTTGGCAGCTTTTAATTTAGCCAAGTCGTCTTCAATATTGATCCCAATGTCATAGACGGCCTTGAAGGTATGGAGATTATTTTGATACTTGAGATGCTTGGAATATTTTTCTTGAAGATTTTTTATGAATAGCCTCACAAAATCCTTTTCACTTGGCACCTCAATCATCTTAGCTGAGGTTTCCCTCCATTTGTTAAAGAAAGAGGTGAAGCCTTCATTCTCTTTCTGCTTGAGGATTTCAAGTTCCCTATGGTCAGTCTCGACTTGAATGTTGCACTTGTACCTATCAACGAAAGCGTTTGCTATGGACTCCCAGGTATAGGTCTTTTCTTTCTCGAGAGAAAAGAACCATTATTGGCAAACGGTCTTGAGAGATAGTGAGAACAGAGAGGGGAAAACCTTCTTATCGATACCCTTAATACTCATTATTGTTTCGAATGCTCTTAAATGAAAGTAAGGGTTGTCAGTTGCTCTGAATTTTGGGATGTCGTTGGCATTGAACTTCTGTGGAAGAAGATCTTTGTCCACCAAAACCCCTTGTGATGTAAGCTCTTGAAACTTGTAGTCGCTAGACAACTTGCTTAGACTCTCTTGCATGAGGTCCATCTGTTGTTGCTTCACGGGATCATCAATCTTAAGTGCGAGAAGCTTCAGTGTCTCAGTCACGGTAACCAGTTGGTTCCTAAGATCATTGACTTCTTCTTGTGTTGCCGTTATAGTCTTAGCTTTCCTCTTACGAGCTATGGGTTTGTCGAAAAGTTGGACTTGTACGAAAAGGTTGTCTTCGATTAACCGTCCTTCCTTTCTTGACCACGCGCTGTAAATTAAACCATTTTGCGTTTTAATTACTTGACTCGAATCAACTTGACTTTACGGTTATTTTAAGGAGGAAAAAAAAAATAAAAAAAAGGGTGCCTATTTTTGGCAAAAATTATGTACATATTTTTAGGGAACTAAGTATAGTATTTTTTTTTATTGGAGGATTAATATCCGACTTACCACCCCTAAAAAATGACGGAAAAAAACGCGCACACAAGACTCTCTTAAACATGGTCAAAGTATGTGTATTGGTGTGTGCGTTGAGTGTAAGTGACATGCTTGGACTCTTGTGTAAGACCATGGGACTTAGTGCCTAAACTCGATCATCGACTCAAATACGTACTATTGACAGCAAAACTTAACCGAATTAGTTAGCAAACTGATTAATTAGACCCTAGGTGATGACTCGACCAATAATCCGAACTGTCGGCCAAACGACAGGGCTGGCGTCGCACTGTGGATGCTGGCGCCAGAAGATAGAGTTGTCGCCAGGCGCCACACTCCACAATGTGGCGCTACACTCAGATCTTGGCGCCAATATTGGAGCTTCGATCTGGGACTGTTTTCGGTGTTATTAGTCAATTGGAGTATGCCTAAAGTCGTACTAGGTCAATTCCGATTAAAATATTAGACTTTATTGACTCTAATTAATTAATTAATTAATTAATTAATTAGGCAAAGTTCTTTAGGCCATTAATTTATTTAATCTCAACACAAGTCAACAAACGATTAAGAGAAATCATAATATATATGCACAACAAATAATGCACAATTAGTCAAGTAGGCACAATATGATGCAATGAGTTCGCAACCTAACCATGGCTCTAGTTCTCTAAAGTTCGGGATATGGTTTAGTCAAAGATGGTCCATGGTTAATTGTCCGGATGTACCGCGCGGAAGCCTAACCGTGAAGGGTTGGCGCGAGTGGATGGGACACCGCGAGTTTTAAAAAAAAACTCGCTTCCATGGTTTGGTGAATTCAACATCTCGGATGTACCCTTTATTGCACGGAGCGTTCAATCGGGTAGATGGAACATGAATTCCCTGGGGGTTATGTCCATATGTAAAACACATATGGGTTCAGAAAAGTGAGAAAAAATTCAATCAGGAAGTTGGATCGAGCAAACAATACGAAAAACCGGTCGAAATTAAAACGCATATTTCTGGCTCGGTATTGGGGAAGGTTGGCGCCAGCAATCAGAGACTGGCGCCAGCTTTTAACAGTAGCGCCTGGCGCCAATACTGGCGTCTGGCGCTACGGTTAAAATGATGGCGCCAATGCTCTGGCCCCTGGCGCTACTTCCCACATGTCTCAACAGCTTTTTGTGCTCGATAAAATTTTCCAGTTTCGCGTGGTGTTATTTCGGTCCTAGTTGTGAAAGATATTTCTCAAATTTCCTACGTGTAAAATCCTATGTTTTTAACTTATTACGGATGGTCTTTCCAATGAGATCTTTTTTTATGCATATGACAATAATGTTAATCAAAATTACGCACATGAAATACTTAGAACGTTTCGAGTCTCATCCACTCATTCTAAATCATTGCCGAAACAAATTCAGGAATTAAAATAGAAATCCTCCCCAGTGGAGTCGCCAAAAACTGTGGGGAATAAATTTCAAGAGTTAATCCCCTAGCTTGAACCCCACTATGATCATACTCTAAAGTACGGTGGCGTCCAAAAGGGAAGAAGATAGAGCAAAAGAGTCGCCAACAAGTTTTAGGAACTTGTAAACAGTTCACAAGGTGAAGGTTACACCCCTTAACGACCCAAGAGATCGTCAACTCCATAAGGTCTTGAACCAAATAAGGGTTCGGGGATGAAGGTACAAATCCAACCTAAAAGAGATTGAACCTGCCCTAATAATAGGCCTATACTTTATTCTTCTCGTATTCATGTGCGCTTTCTAATTAACATACAATCAATAGGATTAACCCTAAACCTGTTTATCTATGTTTGTTGAATTTAATGCACAAATAAATCTATTATTGGCGATCACTTGAAATTATAATCATATTAACCCTAAACAAGATTATTAATTATCTTATTAAACGTGATTACAAGTATAGATTCCCATTAAACATGCAATAAAGAGGTGATCAAGCAATAAAAATAAATATAAAATCAAGCAACAATAAATAAAATAATAATAAATCATGATCATAAAAATAAATTATAATTAAAATAATCATAAATCATGTTAAAGCATAATAAAAATAGCAAGATCCTAGGCATGATACTAATAAGATTAATAACAAACCCTAGCATGTCACTAAGCAATAAAAATCAAATCTTTAACCCTAAAATGATACTAACAATCATAAATATTAGGAAGAGAATAAAAGACATCGCAAGAAACATAATAAGCATACTTGATATCATAACTTTTTCCCTAAACATGATACTAGGAATATCATAATAACAATATAAACATGATTTCTACATCATAATATCAATTAAAACCATTAAATCACTTACTTTGATGCCTCGTACCTCTTTCTAATAAAAAAATACACACGTTAGTAACTTCAAGGAAAATAATAAACAAACAATTAAATTAAATAATTGAAATAGAGATTTGGGACCAAACCCTCAGAAATTAAACCTTTCACGTCTAGGCCGAAGGCAACTTCGAATATGGCTAGGTGTTTATAGATATAATGAATGCGGAATTTTGTATTTGAAAACAAAGTTTAGAAAAAGGAAAGAGAGAGATAAAACAATCAAGAAAACTTGATGAGAATTGGTGAATGATTAAGAGAGAATTAGAGAATTAATGATTGCGAATGAAAACTGATTGTAGGTGAATGAAAACGGAGTTTTTAATACGTTATTTATAGAGAAAATCAGCCAAAAAGATAAAATATCAAAACAGAGCACTTGGCGCACGTAAAACAGAGCTGGCGCCAACCCTGGCTAACTGGCGCCAGGCACCAACACTAGCGCCAGGCGCCAAGCCTGGTTCCAGGCGCCAATGCCTGGAGTCAGGCGCCAGGCCTGTTTTTAACGCGTTTTCGAAAATCAGATAAGTTTGCCATACTAGAGGATAAAATCGTATCTTTTCCTCGAAAATGCTTTTTGATTTTAATTAAAACTCTGAAAAGTCAACAAAGGTCAATTTATCAATGCCAATTGAATTAGGAATGAAAAGAACCTTCTAGAAGAATCTAGAAGACTAAAACCATTCCTAATTGCATTAGGAATGATAAATCATATTAGGCCCTCCCCTAGATCATTGGGCCGCACATAAGGCTCAAAACGGGCCCAGTTTGGTAAATTAGCCATAACTTCCTCAATAGTCATCGGAATTGGGCTTATAATATATCGTTGGAAAGCTCTTGTCAAGACCCATCCAACTACACTACTATTGGACCCATATCATGAACCAACCAAACTGGATTGGCTGTTTTCACTTAAAATAAGTTTTCAAAAACAGAGAAAAGAGAAAAGAAATTAAAACTATCCGCAACACTAGACTTTCCACACTTTCACTTCATTCGATTATGATTCGACATGAAAGGTACTCATCACTGGGTTTGGTTTTGGGGAGACACAAATGGGTGTCTACAAGTATGCTTGTTACAAATGTCAACAAAAATCCAATCAATTTAACCTGGTTAAAGAATGGACAAGTCTCCATATTTTGGGCTCGAATAGTGTCTAGATTAATGGCTTGGTAGTTAACCCTTGACCTTAAGAACTTAGGTCTCTGTCAAAAAAAGCAAACAGTCCTATATACTCCGTATAATTGTTCATCGTTGCCTCTAAAACCAAAGTTGCAGAATTTATCAAGAAAGATTTAACTGAAAAAAACAAGACAGTATATTACCTCATTTTGTAAAAGTGATTTAGAGGTAGTGTAAATGAGCTGCCATTTCCCATTCAGTAAATCAGACTTCAGTGGCTCTCTCGTTGGATTTACTGCTTCTAGCTTTCGTTTAAGCTTATAAAGACAAAATGTGAATGTATAATTAGAGAAAAACTACAAATAACTTACCAATCCTTGCAGTTTCTTCAGCAAGACTTTCTTAATTAACTACTACAATTCGCATTTGTCATTGCAAACCAATGAGGTCTTGTCCTAGTGGTAAGACCGATGGTCCATGTACTATATAGGTAATAGGTTCGAATCTCCCATCCATTAGTTATAATTTGTAATGCCCTTGTGATTCATTCAGGCCAAAAACATGTGCCATATTCCATCATTTATAATTTGTATTATTTGTAATGCCCTTGTGACTCATTCAGACCAAAAACATGTGCCGTATTCCATCATTTATACGTAGTAAATTTGTAATGTCCTTGTGACTCATTCGGATCAATTCAAAGACTTTGAAATTGAACAAACAAGAGAGAAAACCAACCAACCTGATCAATCCTCTGCTGGTCATCAGGGGTGGCATCAGCTCCCATATCAAGAGGCTCAATAGACATAAGAAGCTCCTCCTTTAATTTTAAAACTTTGGGATCTTTTCTGCTGGTCAAAAAACCAGGAAAAAAGGATACTTTTGTTCTGGTACTTGTTCAGCCGCACTTTTTAGCAGGAAGTGGATTATGTGAGAGATGTTTGAAGGTGGGTTTGCTTGGAAAACAAAGTTTTGGTGAGGAAAAAGGAAGAAATAAGGGACATTTTGGAGAGAGAATTAGAAGATGAGGCCATACTGATACTGATAAGGGCTAAACCAACCTATCTATTCATAAAAAACTAAAACATATCATGATGATGATATGAGGTCAAAGATGTTTATAGATAAATGCACAAGTCATCAAACTAAAAGAAGTAAAGAAGCACATAGAATGAAATATGGTCATCATACATGGCTTAAAACCGATAAGAAATCACTTAAATAATTGGCTAGAAAGATTAGCATCTGAAGACTATCAGAACTATTCCAATCAACCATAGTCTATGATAAGTGTTCCACCGCCATCAGAGCTTTTTCTTTTAGAAAGTGATTCATTGCCTGTGGGCAAATCACAATTTGATTAAGCTTGTGTACTTACTCTTTCACAGCCCACTTGCGGCGCTTTGCAAGAAAATCAGTTGCAGGTGTAGGTGCAGGTGAGAGAACTAAGTGAAACCTGAAGAACAGTTCACAGCAACACACAGAACAACATATAACTAAAATTTTTAAAAAGCTGAAGCATTCAGTAGTATCATAAAGTCTAGAATTCCTACACTGAATCTTCTTTTATGTCAATCATTTACCAGGAGAACCCTTTACAGATGAACACAACATTAAACGAGAAATGTATGTGAACAGAGTTTGCCCAAAATTAAGTTAAATAAAAAAAAACTCCTGATAGCAATATGTAATTGCAGATGGTTCAGAAAAGTAAAAGACGAGTGATATAACAAGAACATCTTGTAGAATGTCAAACATACTGCACAAGTGACAGATAGAAAATGAAAATCATACGCAGTAATACTGCAGTATGTTATATCTACTCTTATATCAGAACTTCAGAAGTGCATTATCACCTCTAGCCTCTTGAGATATGTATTTTATTTTTAATCCTACATTCACAACCATAATTACATGAAAATCTTAATGTAAGTTGAGATAATATGAGCATTAAAGATTAAAAAACTGAATGAAAAAGTGCTGGAGTTGAAATCACAACACACTGATTTGATCATGCATGCCTTTTTATTTTTATTTATTTTATTTTATTTTTTGTTATTTCACAGGATAAACAAGCAAAATTATTCTAACACAAGTTTTATTATGCTTTATGTTATATCATCGCCTAATTCCCTTAAACTCCGGGTAACCTATTTAGAGATGGTGAGTCCAAATTAATCGATCCAGGTTTATCACTACTGATATCTTTATACAACATAAGCAGAACACGTTTTGCAAGCACGGTGATCTACCCAAGTTAAGACCTTCAATCTAACATGAAATATTCAGAAAATGTAGGAAAGAGCAAAAGACTATTGATTTTAATTCGTGTAAAATCTATCATACCTTAAGATATCTATTTATTCTTGTAAACTTGCTAAATCATCACATAAAAGTATAAAACACAAACTTTTGGTTTAAGAGAGAATGGAGCTTGCACATTTTTTTTAATCTCTATATTCCTCTCAGATATGAATAGAAAAATATAACTTCCAATACTAAAGGTGAAGGTGTAAGTAATGATAAACCCATTAATTCACAAATTCTCAATACTATAAAATTTCAGTGATTTAGAACCGAAATTTTTACTATACAGTTAGACAAACTTGAAGCAGAAATTCTCTATAAATTATAAACTCCACTTCGATTAAATCAAAACATATATTCTGAAGCCATAAAAGGAACAACAGCTAGCGATATGCAAGAGGAATGCTAGAAGACTACATCACATGGGCTAAAACATGACAATGCACAAATCAACATCCAAAGCATGAACCTTACTAAAATATCTTACATCCTAGAATAAATTAAGCACAATAAAGAAGAAAAGCTAAAAAAGATTACAAACTGTAGAAACAGTCATGTCAAGCAAATGCAAAGAAGTCAAATATTCAGACAGGCAGATTAAACATAGAATTCATAAGCACTTAGACTTGTTGGATAACTTGAATAAAAAACACCACTCTATAAAGGCCAAAAGAATTCTTAAGCTTGATACAAGAAAAATGAGTTCCAATTGCCAAAATAGAGCACACAACACACCTGTTTAGGTTCTCCATTTTGACCCTCAATCGTAGATTCGTAGTTGAAATTATGTCCAGTGACAGCACCTTTGCCATCTACTATTGTTGAAGCCAGCACCATTGCTATTATATGTTGCACTTCTGTTCTGCATCATCTGTCACTCACTACTGATGTTTTATATATTACCTTTCTTACAGTATTGTCACAATTTACAACATGCAATAACGACTAAGAGTTGAAGGAAATGTATATATTCATGAAATTGAGATTTTGAGGATATAACAATATAACTGAGTGTTCCATGCAAAATTCATACGAATTATTACATCAAAAGTAATCTGATCAAAATAGCGTTCAAGTTCAACACCTCTGCTTGGGATCTTGATCTCAACAACATATACATCAAAACTGATATACTCATGGTCTCGAGGATAATATGAAAGTGCACTTTTATTAGCGATTTACATAAGTAGCTTACAAATTACAATTTGACATACACCTTTCAGAGTGTCTAAGCGCGTAATGCTAGCCTTTAGATATACAATTATCTGAGGGACTTATTCATGTATAGTGTATACACACAAACTAAGTATCTTGGGATTCTGTACAATTGATCAACCATTTTTAATATAAACAAATTTCCTTTGTCTCCTCTAGATACTCTGCAAAAGCCAAAAAAAAAAAAAATGCATCTTTCATGAGTGACATATCCATCAATGGAGCAGGTCTTTCAATTCATTTGATTATAAAACTAATCAAATCAGTCCTCGAATGTAAAAAAAATGCAGAAATTTCTCAACATTAAGCCATGAAAATGAAATGCCTGTATATAACTACTGTATTAAAGCTAGGTGTTTATTTGCAATGTTTAATCAGTTTGAGGTTGCTAGCTTCCTTCAGATGCTACAAAACTTGATAGGGAGCTAGTACTGACAGGCATTTGTTCCTCATCCTCTCGTGCACATTCTTACTTCCTTTTTCAGATAGATCAGTGCATATTGTCACATCGTTGCATCCCATGATCACATATGCTGAGAAATTGATACACTAAATCCTGATGGAGCAGGCTTGTCACTTTCATTAAAAAAAACCTTCTAATTATCTAAGTACTGCTTATTATGTATCAAAGAAATTTAGAATTCAATTAATAAAGAAGGTGAAATATAAATAGGATTTCTCAAGTCCCTAGGATTTCCAACTATATACTACTATGTATCAATGAAGAATACTGTTGACAGTTTGGACCGAAGATATCTCATTAGCTATTTAACTAACACTACAATGTAAATCAAGAGTGCTTTGTACTTTGTATATTCGTTATTCTGACGTATGTGTCTGATAGGATAATCATTCTGAAAACAAAACTTACCGCAGATCCTTATCCAAGTAAGTAATATCCAGAGAGCCATACTGAGTTCTTTCCGGTGCCTTCACTGGTGTCTACAAAAGTGAAGTCGCGCTAGCTATACACACACTTCATGGTAAATATTGTACATCAATTAATAATCATAAAGGCAGTTTTTTTATCCTAATAACTAATATGAAGTATTTTATATATGGAAACTAGTACTCTAGTCAATTTTATTTACTTAAACATCATATAATCAAGTATATATTATAGATTAAGAAGATTACCAATCCCAGTATTTTGAAATAATCAAATTTCACAGCCACCTTTCTTGAATTTATCGGCAAGAGATCTGCTGTTACCTGAAAACCATCCAATGTAAACACAAGGGTGATTAAACAGAAAACGCCGAACATCTGTTTAAATTAACCAGCAATTTTCATTCAGGAAGGCAAGATACTAACTACTAAGTTACTATAACAATATCAAATAATAATATCTAAATAAAAGCACTCCAGGATCACTAGCCAATTCTAATAAAGGTCGACGAAAATGAGTTTAAGGACAGTAAACATGATGAAATTGCAGGCTACATATTATGCAAGAATTATGTACTTAATAACAATATTACTGATTAAAGTACGCTTGTTTCGAAATGTCTACAAGAATACAATCAACTTAACCTGGTTAAAGAATGGCCAAGTCTCCATATTTTGGGCTCGAAGAGTGTCCAAATTAATGGCTTGGTAATTAACCCTTGATCTTAAGAACTTAGGTCTCTGTCAAAAAAGAAAACAATCCTAAATATAATTGTTCATCGTTGCCTTTAAAACCAAACTTGAAAAATTAATCAATTAGAAAGATTTAAGAGAATAAAACAAGACAATAAATTACCTCATTTTGTAAAATTGATTTAGAGGTTGTGTAAATGAGCTCCCATTTACCATTCAGTAAATCAGAATTCAGTGGCTCTTTTGTTGGATTTACTGCTTCTAGCTTCCGCTTAAGCTTATAAAAACAAAAAATTAAGGTATAATTAGAGAAAAATTATAAATAATTCATCAATCCTTACGGTTTCTTTTATTCTTTAGCAAGATTTTCTTAATTAACTATTATTATCCACATTTGCCATTGCAAACCAATGAGGTCTTAGACTGAGGGTCCGTGTTAGAGATATGAGATAATCAATATTATCATCGGAATAACAGTCTGTGTACGGTATAGGTCATAGGTTCGAATCTCCCATCCATCATTTATAATTTGTAATGTCCTTGTGACTCATTCAACGACGTCGAAACTGAGCAAACAAAAGAGAAAACCAACCAACCAACCTAATCAATCCTCTGCTGATCATCAGGGGTGGCATCAGCTCCCCTATCAAGAGGATCAATGGCCATAAGAAGCTCCTCCTTTAATTTTAAGGCTTTGGGATCTTTTCTGTTGGTAAAAAAAACCAGGAAAAAAGGATACTTTTGTTCTTATACTTGTTTTGCTGCACTTTTCAGCAGGAAGTGAGAGATGTTTGGAGGTGGGTTTGCTTGGAAAATGAAGATTTGATGAGGAAGAAGGAAGAAATAAGGGAAATTTGGTGATAGGATCATTTGCAAGTATAATTTTGGAGAGAGAATATGAAGATGAGGCCATACTGATACTGGTTTCAGAACAAAACTGATGGTGGGGATGTGTAACTTTTGTCGATAATAGTTGTTCTTCTATTTATTATTTATTTATTTATTTTTGGCAGAGAGCCCTAAGGGCGGAGATGATAATCGATTTTCAACGATTTTAGGTTCGACTACTTGAAAGGTGTGTGTGGGTAGGGAATAAATTTCAAGCGTTAACCCCTAGCTTGAACCCCACTGTGATCATACACTAAAATACGGTGGCGTCCAAAAGGGAAGAAGATAGTGCAAAAGAGTCGCCAACAAGTTTTAGGAACTTGTAAACCGTTCACAGGGTGAAGGTTACACCCCTTAACGATCCAAGAGATCGCCAACTCCATAAGGTCTTGAACCAAATAAGGGTTCGGGGATGAAGGTACAAATCCAACCTAAAAGAGATTGAACCTGCTCTAATAATATGTCTCTACTTTATTCTGATCGTATTCACGTGCGTTTTTTAATTAACATGCAATCAATAGGATTAACTCTAAACCTGTTTAATCTATGTTGGTCGAATATTAATGCACAAATAAATCTATTATTGACGATCACTTGAATTATAATCACAATTAACCCTAAACAAGATTATTAATTATCTTATTAAGCGTGATTACAAGTACAAATTCTCTTTAAACATGCATAAAAGGTGTGATCAAGCAATAACAATAAATATCAAACAACATGATAAAATTATAACAATTATAATCATGAATAATAATCATAATAATAATAATATCATCATAAATAAAATAATCATCATCAAAATAATAATATTAATAATATTCATAATCATCATAAATTATAACAATTATAATTATAATCATGTTCATGTTAATATTAAAGCATAATAATAGCAAGATCCTAGGCATGATACTAACAAGATTAATAACAAATCCTAGCATGTCACTATAACAAACATAAGCATTAGGAAGAACATAGGAAGCATCGTAGCAATCATATTTAGTATTAAAGTTACCCTAGACATGATACTAGGAATATCATAATAACAATTTAAACATGATTTCTACATCATAATATCAATTAAAACCATTAAAGTACTTACTTTGATGCCTCGTACCTCTTTCTAATAACAAAATACACACGTTAGTAACTTCAAGGAAAATAATAATCGAAACAATCAAATTAAATAATTGAAATAGAGAGATTTGGGACCAAACTCTCATAAATTAAACCTTTCACGTATAGGGCGAAGGCAACTTCGAATATGGCTAGGTGTCTCTAGATCTTATGAATGCGAAATTTTGTATGCAAAAGACTAGTTTAGAAGAGAGAGAGAGAGATGGATGAATTGATTAAGGAAATCTTGATGAGAATTAGAGAATGAAAACTGATTGTAGGTGAATATTAATTAAAACTGATTGTTGATGAGAATTGGTGAAAATTGGTGAATGAAAACGAAGTTTTTAATACGTTATTTATAAAGAAATCAGCCAAAAAGATAAAATATCAAAACAGAGCACTTGGCGCACGTAAAACGAGATTGGCGCACGCAAAACAGAGGTGGTGCTAGCACCAGTTTATTGGCGTCAGGCGCCAATGGCTAGCACCAGGCGCTAGGCCTGGTTCCAGGCGCCAATGGCTAGCACCAGGCGCTAGGCCTAGAGTCAGGCGCCAGGCCTGTTTTTGACGCGTTTTTGAAAATCAGAAAGTTTGCCGTACTGGAGGATAAAATCGTATCTTTTCCTCGAAAATGCTTTTTGATTTTAATCAAAACTCTGAAAAGTCAACAAAAGTCAATTTATCAATGCTAATTGAATTAGGAATGAAAAGAACCTTCTAGAAGTTAAAACCATTCCTAATTGCATTAGGAATGATAAATCATATTAGGCCCTCCTCTAGATCATTGGGCCGTATATAGGGCTCAAACCGGGCCCAGTTTAGTAAATTGGTCATAACTTCCTCAATATTCATCGGAATTGGGCTTATAATATATCGTTGGAAAGCTCTTGTCAAGCCCCATCCAAATAAACTATTATTGGACCATATCATGGACCAACCAAACTGGATTGACTGTTTTCTTAAAATAAGTTTTCAAAAACAGAGAGAAGAGAAAAGAAAATTAAAACTTTCCGCAACACTAAACCTTCCAC